ATACATCATCCTTTAGATTACACTATTATCAGAGATTTTTTTTCTCTTAGCTCTTACAAAATTCACATGCAACGGTTCGTTTAGGACAATCTTCTTTGTTGTGTTTTTCAAAAAATCGTTTTTCAAATTTGATACCACAGCCATTTGGACACTCGATTGGAACAAAACCACATGTTTCTAGATGCGGCTAAATAGTAAACAAATTACAACTGAAAATTATTTCACATTCTTTTTTTCACTTACCATATTATCTCTCAATATTCCTTCCCATTCACAACCTTTGTCTTTATTTGAACAATATATCTCTAAATTTTGAATATCTTTCTGAAAGCTCTTCTCTTGAATAATTTTATCACGTGAAACCGGTTGCTGACATTTTGGACAGCGCGGTGCAACGCTAAGTAAAAAATGAAAATACTTATTACTTTAACTGATAGAATATAGCCATCATGGTATACCGTAATATATCTGGTAAACAGCTTGAACAAACAAAATGTCCACAGTCTTCAAACTGAATGGGAAATCTTAAATAACCGTTGCACGATGGACACTCATATTTTCGATCTAATGAACCAGATTTCCATTTTATTTCACCTTCGATCGTTCTGAAATAGATAAAAAGGCTTATAGACTAAAGTCAACAATTTTAGTTGAATGAAAGATCTAATGCTATGATGATTAGGCGTTAAGAATACCTTGTATGATTTAACAACTTGAATAAATCTATCCGTGCAGAAGACATTGCTCTGTTACCATAGTCCGTTTTCTCTCACTCAAATGAAAGTAACAGCATTCTTTTTTTTTTTCTTCTTGTATATCATTAGAAATTCTTTTTAGAAGAAACAGTCTTATCAAATATGTATGATACTTTTTTCTTGCATGCAACATTTCTTTTTGTTCCATTTCAAATTAGGTCGATTCATCATGGAACAACTTATAATTGAAGTCATAAAGTCTATCTAAAAGTATTTAATATATACCTTTTTCCAGCCGATTTTATTGTACGTAATATCGACGTTGGTGTAGGACTTCGAATCGATAACATTGAACCTTCATAAACAGGTATGTTAAGAGGTGAATCCACCATATTTGATACTAAAATAGAAGTAGGATTTTATTTCGAAATAGAATACCACTTATTATATTTTGAATATTTCAAGAGTGAAGAGAAATGAAAAGTTTTAGCGGAAAATTCACTGATACATTTGATCTTTAAAGTCTCACTTTCTTAAATGATACACTTGATAGTTAAGAGAAGGTAAGGTTATAATATATTAACATACATTTACCAAGAGAGGAAGCAGGATTTTATGAACTATGTTTTCAGTCGATCCTGTTCCTTTACGAGTCAAAAGTAGTGGAGGATGTATCTTTGAAAAACGATTTTTTGAAAAACACAACAAAGAAGATTGTCCTAAACGAACCGTTGCATGTGAATTTTGTAAGAGCTAAGAGAAAAAAAATCTCTGATAATAGTGTAATCTAAAGGATGATGTAT